GTGGCGCCCCAGCCCGCGGCGGGGCCGAGGAGCGGGCTCCTCCCGGCCTCCCACATCCAGCCCGCGGATACGCGCCGTGCTGGCAGCACCCGGCTACTCCTGGAGCGTGGGTCAGCAGCCACACAGATAGCAAGACAACGTTTATTAAAGGCAGAGGGCAATGCAAAAACATGAAACGGGGCTTTTTTAAGAGCTCCTGCTTTAGGTATATAAAAAGTGAAACAATTAGTGCGCCCGTAGTACATTTGAACAGGACATTTTGAGTCTACCCTGCCTCCTAGAATTTAAAACAAGGAAAAGAAACAATGAAAATACTTTTTTATCACCCTACACAACTGCAAATAGAGGTTGTCTATGAACACATAGCATCTCCACAGTTTTTTGTTTTGTTTTTTTTTTTCTTTAATGTATGTTGCAGTAAGACAGTAAGGATTAAGTCACTGGAAGTCTTGCTGGATATTCTCCTTGTTTGCTTCCCTAGAATTTAAAACAAGGAAAAGAAACAATGAAAATACTTTTTTATCACCCTACACAACTGCAAATAGAGGTTGTCTATGAACACATAGCATCTCCACAGTTTTTTGTTTTGTTTTTTTTTTTCTTTAATGTATGTTGCAGTAAGACAGTAAGGATTAAGTCACTGGAAGTCTTGCTGGATATTCTCCTTGTTTGCTTCCCCATGCTGCTGTTTGATTTGTGAAATTTCATTTTCTAGCTGCACAATAGTTCGTTCAATCTCATAATTTTTACTGACAAGAGAGACCCATCTAGAAAGGAAAAGAAATAAAAAAGCCTTCAAGTGTTAAATTTAACAGTCCTCTGTTCTAAAATCTGACAATTATTGCTCCAAAGAAAGCACAAAGACACCGAATAAAGCACTATATTTCTCAGTACATTATAAACCTGTTGATATCAATGATGATTTGAACAACCAAAGTGACAGAAAGTAGTTTTTATCCCTGTTAAACCTTAACATACAAAATTTAATTTACTAGACTCAAATCCACTAACTTCCAATCTTTAGATAAAGAAGAGTTTAAGAAACAATTTAGGCAAATTCAAGCAGCTAATATGCCCTCCTTTTCACATCTGTTGCTCATTGATTCACTCAACCACAGTAACTATTATGTAGACATGAATTACAAATCCTTCAAAACGCTTTGGGCAAAGCAACAGTATTCATGTGATAACATCCTACAATAGTACTAAAAGATCACTGATGCTCTTGGAAGAATTTCAAGCAAAAGATGTGGAAGATTTAACAGAAAAATTCTAGATACTCACGTAGATTCCATTTCTCGTAGCTTAGCTCCAGCTGTGAGCTGCATGTTCTTTCTTTGCCAGTTCAGATCTTGAATGTTTTTCCTGAGGAGAAACAGATCTATGTGGGTTTTTTTTTTGTCTCCTTTCTTTAAAATTTGTACTATCTGCTACACCTAATCCCTAGAAGTGCTACCAGAAAACACTTGTGTAGCCAGGACCGTAACTACAACATATATATGAACAAATCCCAGTACAGGGCTGCACATAGAACCCTGAGAAAAATAAAAACAAAAAAACCCACAAACCAACAACAAAAAAACTTCCACTCTACTACAAGCAAAACTTCAAATGTTCAAGCCTACTGCTCCTGGGCAAGTGCAGAACAGAGAAAATGTTTTGTTCTCTCTGAAAAAAAGTCAGAAAAGCAAAGATGAACGGCTAATTATTCACAAAATTCAGTAATTCAGTGAAGCACCTGAGAAGTGCAGAATACTTAAAATACTTTGGTCTCTACGTAGTTCTTAGTCCCCACTGCTAACTCGTATTCTGTTAGCCTCCTTGCCATACATCATGGTGTTCCTTTAGCCTTCCCAACTTGAGTTCTGCTTCTACCCTTCCCCACACTGATTCGACCCAGCTAATCTAAACACGCAGGTACTGATAAAAGATACGAATCACTACACAACTTGCCTTCTACCCATGTCCCAGTACACAGTCCCATCTTCAGGCTGAAAATGACAGTACTTCACCTAAATCTGAAAGCTGAAAAGCTTTACTTGCCAAGTCCATAGCATGCTGTCTAAATAGAGTGAATTACAAAGGTGCATCATTTCAATATACTACAACCTCCATCCCCAAGTAATCCATCTCTGTAAACTCTTTAAAGCATCCACTTTAAAATGATAGGCCAAACCTAACATCAAAAAACATGTCTTCGCTGAGACAACTGCACACTAAATAAAAGTCTATCAGCAGTGAAAAGAAAACATGACTGCATTTCAGAGAGGATTCCACCACAGTCCATTCTGTTCAAAGCAGAGGTTCAGACAAAACAAAATAAAACCAAACAAAACAAACACAGAGTTTGAGTGGAATAGACATTATGAATGTAACCGCTTGGGGAGGGCAGGGTCAGATTTCTTAATTACTGTTATTACTGGGTCTTTTTTCCTATGACCATGGCAGCAGCATATATACAAGCCTTTGTATAGCTTGCGGGGGGAGGCATCACTTTCCTTCCAACTTCAGTATGGAAATATGAAAAAGAATGACTCACCTCAACTTCTGAAGCTCTTTCTGGGCTTGTTCTATCATATGAACCAGATGTCTAATAGCAGAATGCAAGCAAAGCATTAGGAAAACATAGAATTGTTAGATCAGGCCCATTTAACCTGCAATTTAACTTTTCGAAGTTAAGGACGCAACAAGCAAACTTCAACACAAACACCAGACAACTTGTTCTCAGTGCAGTCTGCGCTCTTCACTCCTGAAGAGAATGACACAACGCCAAAACACTCCAATTGTAACATACACATTTTAAGACATAAGCCTCAATAATCACTATGGTCAGCCCTTGCCATTAGACAGTATCATAAAATCATATCCATTAGCTGATCAAGTTTTACCTTCAAGCTTGTTACTGTATGCTTGTGCTATTCTGACTAGAATGCTATTGTAACATCTCCCTATCTCATCACTCATCTTCTAATTCTGAAGTTATCTGTAACCAAGTTTTATTATTGTTTCCCTCATATAACACTGTCAGAGCACAAACAGTTCTTTTCGCTTCCTGACATATGTGTGAGCTAATAGATCCTCTATCTGCCTCCCTTCTCCTAAGCTAAGCAACCCTCTGCCTTCTCTCAAAGGTAAGTTTTGCATTCCTTTTGTCTACCCCTTTATATAAGGCTAAGCTAACCCTTCTCGAAAGCGGACATTAACATTCGCTGCCTGAAATAGCCCTGGTGCTTCCTGCAGCCATACTGCGTATAACTTTTTTTTGGCTTTTGCAGCAGCTTTATTAATAATGGCTCCAGGCTGAGCAGGATTAGTAGTAAGTCATCTTTATTTCCACTACTGAACGACCATTTCATAGGCTGTCATTAGCCCCTTTAGTTATCCTCAATTAAAGCCCATTAACGCCAACTACTACCCAAACAATAATTCACAAAATTCAAGATTAGGATGTATTGACACACAGGCTCTTTCCTGGCCACAAAGACAGCTCCTTCCCTTTCATATCAGCCTCCTTTTCTACCACAAATAGCCCTCTCAAAGGGCCTCAGTTACTCCAGGATATGTTCTAAAGATCCCCACTGGACTTACAGAGGAAAACATGAGGAATACACAGAAATTTAAGTCAGAACTTCCACTAGGTTCAGCAAAGCAGATGAACGCCTTACTCATTGTACACCTTCCAAGCGTTACAGCCATGTTGCGACATTAATTCCAGGTTCTCGATGCGGACCGCCTGGTGCTCCAGCTGCGCCATGGAGTTGTTCACACACTCCTGCCACGCCGTGATATCGTTCTTCTGGCCAGAGGACGGGGCCGGTAGCTCGTACCTAGAACACGCCGCCCGCCGCCCTCAGGAGAAGGCCCAGGCGGCCTCGGGCCCGGCGGGCACCGCTCAGCCGCCGACGCTC